CCGAGCCACAGTTTGGCCCCCCCTAGCCAAGACCCTCTGCCTCTCCCAGCCTTCAAGGTGGTCAACAACTAGTAGTGCTCTGCCTTGGACCTCTAAGACTCAGCTGCCCGTTCTTTTTTGGGGGGGGAGGATTGCAGAACTTGCTGCGGTTCTCCAGCACTCACATTACAAGCAAACATCATCTATTAGCAGCGGAGCAGCCGACAAAAGAAGTCCAAGAGCCCCTCCTCCTCCTCCAGGGCTTCGTGTGGGTGGAGTCACCCACTGAGGCTCTTTGACTATTGGAAGTTTTGGAGTCCTGCCTGCAGCTCTGAGAGCCCGTGTGTATCGGCTAGGCCTCTAGCTGCCATGGAGTGAGGGGGGTGCCTCTGGAATTTTAGGTTTCGTTTTTCTGTGTCTTCAGTGTTCCTTTACCTCTGTAACATGAGCGTTTGGCCTTGGTGTCTAGCACCGGCTTTCTCCCCGGGAAACTAGACCCGTTAGCTGTGGCGGGCTTCTACCTATGCCGTGATTGGCTCCAGTCCATCATGGGACCTGCCTGAATTGAGTATCTCTGCTTGCTTCGCGCGCTTATTGCCAGTTCTAACATAAGATGTGTAAAGACATTCTGCATACTTCGATGTTTCGATAAACGTTACTTCTTTGCAAGACAGTTGTTGGGAACCGACTGCTGCAGGAGTCTGACAAAGCCAGGCCCTTTTTTACAAATGTATTTATTAATACCTTCTTTCTCCCCAAAATTGGGATCTAAAGCGGACAGAAGACATATAAAAATAATTCACATAACCGAACCCAAGAACGCCCGCTGCCCAACAGAATACAAAAACGGACATGTGAACGACGATGCCCCCAGAGGCCCCCGTCACCCAGCCGAGCAGCTGAAGTACCTCTGCCCTCACCTCCCGGGTGGCCCCGAAAGGCCCTTCTGAACAACTTCGTCTTGCAGTTCCCCCAGCGTGACATCTCCCCTCGCCTCTTCGGAGAGGCTGTTCCAAAAGGCTGGAGCAATGAACAAAAATGCCCCCAGCCGACGGCACCTTGGTGGGGAGCAGTGTTCCCTCTACGCTGAGTCCGTGTGAGCCAGCTCAGTTCTTTAGCCTCTGGATCACACGTTTTTGCCTTCGCTCAGGAAGGAGGGCTCCAAGGCAAACTCATTGATGCAGCAGCCCAATCGCTCGCTCACCACGTTCAGGCCAGTAGCTCACAAAGCAGGATTTTTGCTCACCGGACTCCACCGCTGAGAGGGAGCCTTGGTGGGAAGGGAACCAAAGAAGGAAAGCCCTGCTGACCTGAACGGCGTTCTCACATTCAGTCACACCGGAGGTGGTGGTTCAAGCACATGAGTCCTCCCAGGTCGTGGTGGGCCACAGAGGGCCAGCAAAGAGGGCCGAGAGGCCCGGGTCTCCCCTTGTGGCTGCCGCCTTCTAGCACTGGATATGGAGAGGCCTGCTGCCTCTGCATATGGAGGTCTCCTAAATTCACCAATTTCACCATTCACCATCGATGGCCCCATTGTCTGTGAAAAGGTCTAGTGCCCCCCTTTAAAGGCACATGTGCTCCTGTTGATCACTATTTCCTCTAGCAGTGGATTCCACGATCTCACTGCACAGTAACAACATTATTTCCTTCCATCTGTTCGGAACCTATGGCCCATGAACTTCATTAGGTGCCCCTCAGGCCTAGCACTATGGGAGACACAACAAGCCGTCTGCACCCACTTTCCCTGACCCCGTGCGTAATTGCATAAGCCTCGATCGTGGGCCCCCCCCCAAGATGTCTTTCCCCCCCTAGACTGCAAAGTCCCGGGTTCTTCAGCCTCTCCTCATAGGAAGGGTGCTGCAGTCCCCCAGTGATCTCTGTGGTCCCCCTTCTGCATTTCCCCCAGCGCTTTCCCTGAGAGAGGGGCTGCCCCCTTTGTCTATGAGAAGTGTCAGATGGAAAGGTTATTCGGGTTTCTTGTGAACAGAGTGTTGAAGGACGCAGGTGAGATTTCTCTCTGTGTACTGGGTTTCCCAAGCCTTCTAAAGCACGCTCAGAGGCACTTCCTTGACATTTTATAGCTTTAACGCTCATTTATTCAGTTATGTTTGGGAAATGTTAGAGGAGATATGATCTTCCTTGCGTGAGGCCTTTCCATACTTGAGGTTAACTCATTATTGTCTCTTTTTTATCATCTTGCCTAGTACGAGTTACTTCTTTATTCAATAAAGAACATAAACCGCTTGCTGGTGCGAGTTTTTGTCTCGCTTGCTGGTGCAAGGTTAAACACAGAACTCACTTATAGATATTGTCCTACGGCAGATAAAGGTGCCCTCTTAGCAGGCCGTCTATCTAGATCCTGTCTGAAGTCTCTGGAAACCACTGGGAAGGCGAGAATCATTCCCACAGAACAGGCAGTCCAGACTTTTAATAGGATACAGGATAATTGTCTCATTACAAAACAGCACCTGAAAGACCAATATCTCCCCGGGCAGATGCGTCCACAAGTCACAGGTCACTTCAAAGCGTTTGCAAAAGCGAATAGCCTTGGAAAAGGTTACTGGTCGTTTAACGTCCGCTGGACTCGAGTTTTGGTGTATTAAATGGCTGCGAACCACAAACTGTTGCTCTTCCTGGGAATCAACCACTGGCAAGGTGTATTTTTGCCAAAACTGCTCCCCCACCCAGAATTCTTGTCTGCCAGAGAAGAACAAACAATTCCGCCAAGCGGCACTATCGGAACATCCCTGCAAGGAGTCCTCCACTGGGACGGCTGGGCACTTCCTCGGGAGGCCAGGTCAGCCGTGGTCTTTGACCGTCTGGAATTCACGCACTGCCAAGCCGCTCAAGAAGATTCTGAGGGGGGGGGGAGAACTGAGGGTGCAGAATGGCCACTAAGACCAAATCCCACCCCCACCCCCCTCTACCAAAAGCTATAACTCCTGGCTGTGATTCCATCCCAGTTTAACAGAACAGGGCCAGGAGCAGCTCTCTCTGGACCTCGGGAAGCCATTTGGGATGCTGGACTGAGAGGGCAGGGAGATCTGGGTTCCGAGAGCCCACACACACCCCGCCCCCAAAGCTTCCTGGGTGAGCGTGGCCGGTCCCTCTGCCTTTCAGCCTGACCTCCCTCCAGAGGTCGGTGGGAGGTGGAAAAGGAAGGTTCCCCCTTGTGCTCACTGGAGG